CGAACAAAGGTGTATGTATATTTTAACTAAAGAGTTTAAAATTCCCGGAACAATACATGTATGCTGCTATTTTTCCTTGAAACTTTTTTTTTTCAATATGATGTGGAGATAAAAATATCTATATTGATCTATTTTGCAACAGAACGTACAGAGTCATACAAACAAAACGTAACCTAGAACCATGCAAGTAATAAATGCAGAATCAGGCGTACGTGTGATTTAAGCTCATTATATAACAGATACCTATTTTTTCTATATCGATTAATTCTCCAAGACTTCATAACGTAAACTTTACGGAGCGCGTGCAAAGAAAATATCACCTGACACACATCAAGCAATGCATTACTTCATTTATCTACAAGAATATAAACATATGTTCATGAAGATGTGCACTCTAGTTTTAACACATTCCCGCGGTGTCTGTTTGTGAGTAAACGGTAGATGATGCAACTGATGCTGCCGATAATCGCAACGGGACACTAAGGGCATGACCCTTTGACCTGTCCGGGTCTTACTTATCGATAATCCATGATGTAATTATCTGATTTCTATTGATAACAATACACGCCTGAAAGTACCGACATACGGTCAAATACACCAAGGTATATAAATACTTGGGAAACTGCTTGAAAACGATCGATATTCCGATCGCCATCTTGTTTCAGTTATTGCTTCTATACTATCCCTTTACTCTAAAAGTCATTTCAGTATAACATATTTTGTCCCTTTTTCCAAAATAATTATTTATAGTAATATGCTAATTTAATTACTATATTATATATATTAATCGATTGAAGAAATGTGTACCTGAAAAAGATCGGCAAATCAACATCGCTTCCAATCACAATATTTAACACTAAAACACATGGTGGTGTTACACGTACAAGGAAATATTTTTAATATTAAACAAAATGAAACAGTATTATACATAATACCAGAAAAAAAACGGAAGATAAATATCCAAAAATATTTCCCTGTAGTCACGAGTAATGTTTCCTGTTAGAATTACTAAACTTTTTTTTTATTTTGGTCACACAAAAAAAATCTTTGGAGACTGTTTGGAACACGCTTAACGCATTACATTACATATATAACCATTAGTACTGTAATATTCCTGTCATTTTTCTGGTATTGGATTACATCATATATTATATTTAATACGTGAAAACTTCTAAAATTTCCCGGCAGTAAATTATCAAAGAAAATCAGTTTTATTGCTTCCGGTCATTCAACTAATAAAAATTGTAAGAATGTGATGAAAAAGAACATCCCCCGTACAGCCACATCTCCTTCAAATATCAATTATCATACTAATTTCGCTAGCCAACATTACAATTTTAAAATTAAGTAACACGGAGATAATGGAACTAACAAATCACACTTAAACCAACCGAAAGAAGCTTTAATTAGAGTTACCGCCGTGACAAATTTCAGTTTAAGAGATAGATATAGGGGCAATGTCTACTTACGTGTTCGCGTCCTGTTGCTGAGGCTGAATGAAGAGGAATGTCTTGGATAAGCAACCAATCGATGAAGCAGTGGTCGATCGTCAGGTTCGATAACTCGTGGCAGGGCATCGATCGAAAAGATGGATCGGTTAGAGCTTCATTACAATGTATTGGACAATTATTTGATCAAATGGTTAGTTTATCAAAAAGAGGTGATAATTGGATATAATATCAGTAAATTGAATTCATCACATGGAAGAACTTGTATCGATATTGTGTAATAAGGTTTGGTGTATATTAACATACATGAACTATACATTAACAATAAGATGGTATTGTTTACATACGGGAAGTGTAACAGTTTGGAGAGATTACTTGAAAAAACAATACAACTGTTCAATAACAGATAAAGACCTAATACAAATGTATAAATTATGCATAAATTACCAAGTCAATTTAATTTTATCAAAACATATGAGCTGAGATGGTTCTTTAATTTACCGATTTAAACAAATTCACAAATAAACCTTTTAGTAAAAGTACACACAAAAAGTAAAAATAAACAAAGTATACCTAAAAACATAAACATGAACATGTGGAGGATAAGATATAAATCACATGAAATGGTGCTTCGTTGAAAACCACGGTTTGGAGTCCACAAGCTACCTCAAACGTGATGATATCTAGAGAGAATCGATGTGAATCACCCGTGGGTTACCGACGATGGAAATAGTGCTATCAGCATGTTACACGTTTGTTTTACATTTTTCAGAATTATTATATTTTCTTTAAGAAAGTAAAAAGCATTTACAGGAATTTGGCTTTCAAGAGTTTGCCACATCGAAGAAATCCAGATTTTTCATACATATGTAATTATATATATATATATATAATCAGACTAAATTGTTTCTAGTGTCCATGATCATATACATGTAATAGTGTATACATGTAATAGTAAATGTTAATACATGTATTTGAATTTCCTTTTATAGATTTAAAACATAGGTAATCAAAGATTACGAAGCTCACCTCGACGAATGTTATCTTTAAGTAAGGCAAATTTCACATCACATTTTTTTTTTAATTTAGTGTACATCCCAAGATCAATGTCCATGCAAGTTTGGTTTAAGTACGAATTATAGTTACTTGGAAATAGACCTGTCCAAAAAACGTTTATCCTGTTTACTAATCAAGAAAATTTTGGTCAGTTCCAACATCCAAAGTAAGTCTTGAAGTTTTCATCCTTAGATGCACCATCTATGCAAGTTTAATCATAACAAGCCATAATGTTATATAGCTACTCCAAAAAAAATTATCCTGGTCACTCATCTGGAAAATGTAGGTCAGATTCAGAATCCAAAGCAAGTCTGGATGTGACCATCCCTAGCTACATCATCCATGCTAATTTGGTTAAAATATGGCTAAAATTCACTCATGTGGAAAATCTAGGTCGAATCCAGCATCCGACACAAGTGTGGTAGTGTCCATCTCTAGATGCATCATCCATGCAAGTTTGTTCATGGTAGAGCTTATAATTACTTGGGAATGGACCTGCTCCAAAAACTTTGACCTTGTCACTCATCTGGAAAATCTAGGTCAAATCCAGCATCCGACACAAGTGTGGTAGTGTCCATCCCTAGATGCATCATCCATGCAAGTTTGTTCATGGTAGAGCTTATAATTACTTGTGAATGGACTTGCTCCAAAAACTTTGACCATGTCACTCATCTGGAAAATCTAGGTCAAATCCAGCATCCGAAGCAAGTGTGGTAGTGTCCATCCCTAGATGCATCATCCATGCAAGTTTGGTCAAGGTAGGGCTTATAGTTACTTGGGTATGGACCTGCTCCAAAAACTTTAACCTGGTCACTCATCTGGAAAATCTAGGTCAGATCCAGCATCCGAAGCAAGTGTGGTAGTGCCCATCCCTAGATGCATCATCCATGCAAGTTTGGTCCAAGTAGGGCTTATAGTTACTTGGGAATGGACCTGCTCCAATAACTTTAACCTGGTCATTCATCTGGAAAATCTAGGTCAAATCCAGCATCCAAAACAAGTGTGGTAGTGTCCATCCCTAGATGCATCATCCATGCAAGTTTGGTTCAGGTAGGGCTTATAGTTACTTGGGTATGGGCCTGCTCCAAAAACTTTAACCTGGTCACTCATCTGGAAAATCTAGGTCAGATCCAGCATCCGAAGCAAGTGTGGTAGTGTCCATCCCTAGATGCATCATCCATGCAAGTTTGGTCAAGGTAGGGTTCATAGTTACTTGGGAATGGACCTGCTCCAAAAACTTTAACCTGGTCACTCAACTGGAAAATCTAGGTCAGATCCAGCATCCGAAGCAAGTGTGGTAGTGTCCATCCCTAGATGCATCATTCATGCAAGTTTGGTTCAGGTAGGGCTTTTAGTTACTTGGGAATGGACTTGCTCCTAAAACTTTAACCGGGACGCCGACGCTAACGCCGACTTCGTCGAGGTGAGCTAAAAATGAATTTCTAAAACATGCATGCACAGGCCCGTCACAATGGTTTCGAAAGTGGGGGGGGGGGGGCAACTTCCCCAAAAATCTGACAAGCAAAAAGAAAAAAGGTAATTTACTGTCCAAATCCTGCAATTTGCCAGTGCTTCACCTTACAACATTGAAAAAAGGGGACCAGCCTGCATCTTAAGGAAAATTTACTATAGCAAAATACTACACTCAAAAAAAAGTGCCCCCCCCCCCCCGCGTTCTACGGGCCTGATGCATATAAATGATAATACATGCATTTATACCTAAGTTCTTTTACTTTTTCACGCCCTCCCCTTTCCTATGGCCATGATTGATACATGTATACACTCAAATATGAGGTAAAATTATAATTTCTTGTGTGTGTGCGTGTTAAAGTGTCTTTTTTTCCTATACCGCCATTCAGCTCAATGCATGGCATTTAAAATGTAATTTTGACGTTAGATATTCACAACTGATACAAAACGTGTCAAAGGAGAAAGTAACATTATATTGCCCTCTTTCTTAAGGAAATTAGGTTATTCCCCTGCATTCTTTGAATCAAACGATATTGAAACTGCTTCGTCAATAAGCACACAGTTAACTGAAAATGCGATTCTCTCTGTGAGCATGCTCCCGAAATTTAAGAAGTGTATTCGTCCCAAAATATGACGGGAATATATGTATTTATAACACCATTCAAAAAAAACCTACCCGGTAAAAAATAAACAATAATACTTGCATATTAATACTAAACGTCATGGTTAACACATGTAATTCATTTCGCTAAATATATAAATACTAAACACTGCATAGTGCCATAAATTGTAAAATATTAACCCACTAATAACACTATTATGATAGATTTCACTTGAGAAATAAAGGTAATCTATGCTCAAATTGAGAGAGGAAATAATATCCGATAGATATCTGAAATCAGACTCTGTGTCACATACATGTACTTCACATGTACATTGTATATGTAAAATAACAAGAAAAATGTTCATTATGTAAACACCTTGCAGTTGTGTTCTTTACATTTTATTAAAAAATAAATACGTAAATCATGCACAAATCATCACAAGTGTTTACAACATACATGTACTATAAAAATTTTATTCTGAATACTTTATCTTATATGAAGGTTTTATTACAAAGCTAAACATACATGTAAATCAATTATGACAACCAATAATTATTATGCCTGGACAAATAATAAAGGGCATAAGATACATTTTTTCGAAATATGATATATATCGACTTTAATGGAGACACGTTAGACTAGATACAGGGTAAAAGTATTCTAGATAACTGAGATGGATTAAATGGAGGGTAATATTCTGGAAAATGAGACAACAACCAGAACAACAGTTTGTCCCACTCCCCAGCACATGGCAAATTCTGGTTCTAGAGGAAAATCGGATCCACGATAAAATCCAGCTATGGCAGCACCTATAAATATACAACAAAATAAAATGTAAACCATAAGAACACAATGCTAAAAACATTCAGACAATACATGTACCAAGCAGTCCCGTAGAACGCATAGGGCCAGGGGAACGCGGCCGGGGGGGGGGGGGGGGGTACGCGGGGGTCAGCCCCCTTTTTATGAGTATAGTATTTTGCTAAAGTAATTTTTCCTTTGGATGCTGCCCCCCCCCCTTTTTTGATGTTGTAAGGTCAAGCACTGGGAAATTCCAGGATTTGGACAGTAAGCTGTTTTTGCTTTGCTTGTCAGATTTTTTTTGGAAGTTGCTGCCCCCCCCCCCTTTGAAACCGTTGCTACGGGTCTGCCTAGGTTTAGATTTCGAATGCTTGTAAATAAAATGAAGGCACATTTTGATTCCTGAATCACTGGGAAATACTACATCTCTATATCTACTTTGTTTCCCCTAAACAAGTTCCAGGCACCTGTAAAATAATGACAAAGTGTAACTTTTAACAGAATAATGATGACATACTTGATAAGGCTCCTCCAGTCAATGGGGACAGAAACCCCATTACAATGATCAGAATAGGCATCCACCTGCCTATCTTGTGTTGCCGAAGATGACAAAAAGCAATGGCTGCTGCAATTACATGGACCAGCACACAGGAGAATAAAGCCCAGAGAAAGATGTTGTAGAAAATTTCTGTTGGGAGAATAAGATATTTCATGATATAATCCAGTTATCACACAGTGAAGCTAAATATTCAAACAAACATTTTATGCACCCCCCCCCCACCCTCCCCCCATCAAATTAAAATAACTCGAACAATCAAAAAAAAAAAAAACACTGATTATAGGCAAAGTATTCACACATCAAAATAACTTTTTTATGAATGATTTGAATTAATTTCAGCATTGGAGTAAAATGTTTCCATATACATAGTATTATTTCTTCTCTTACCTCCAAAGTCATTGAGAGTACTTTTAAGGCCAAACACATTTAGAATGCTTTGGCCTGTTTGTTCAATGTCATTTGTCATGTTTCACGATTTTCTAAATCCAATGTTTCCTTTTAAGTTCTTTTCAGGAGTGGTCTACACATTTAATGTCATTTGTCATGTTTCAGATTTTCCAAATCCAATTTTTCTTTTTTGGTTCTTTTCATGAATGGTATAAGATTCACCCCATGTTCTTCACAATCTTCTAAGTAATTTTCTCTAATCCAAATCTTTATAAATCTCTACCACCTGGAACAAGTTTCAAATTACAAATGTAAGTTGGTAAATATTTTTCAATATTAAAGTCATTCAAAACAAACATGTGAAATAGTATGCAGCAGTGAATCAAAACTACAGTATCAGTAAAACCTTCTCAAACAGTTTTAAATACTGAAAACAAATCTGCTTTCAAAGTATGATTATTCAAAGTTAAATGATGTGAAGTACAAGACTACTGCTCTGCTCTGGTAGGAACAATAAGACTGAATCTGCTTTTTAAAAAAGATTGTTCTTACTTCCACATTGGTGGATCATCTGACATCACCTACATACATATCTCAATAACACTTTTATCATTCCTCTGAAATCTAAGCCAGTAGAGCTACAGTCCCCTGAAGGATTTCTGTATGTAGCAAATCTGTACATGAATTGAGGAATTCACAGCAGATGTTTTACAAAGCAAAATACAGTGGCTTGCTCCCCAAATGTAAACAATGCAAATTTAAAGAAAAATTACAAGTATATATATATTATTTTTGGGATCAAATATGACCAATCACATTTGATTCCATGTGATGTAGTCAGCCAATGTAACCATTTGTGCACAAATAAGTTAATGCGACAGATTACTTTGTTTACTATGCACTGACAACTTCATGTACATGTAATTCTATCATAACAAGTACAATAAGGAACCTTTTTTTTAACGCAGGTGAGTTAATGCTAGGTATTGGCATTTCTATGCAAATAATCTAATTAAAATGCATAGGGACTATATCTATTATACAGAGAAAGTTAAAACTTATTGTCCAATACATACTTGGTGCTCACGACATGAGATAGGCAGTACACATTATGACGTCATTGTTCTTTACTACACAAGATTATAATGGGTATCAACAAAAATGCTTCGGCACAAGGGCATGCTCTATTTCATTTAACTGAAACAAGGTATATTTAGAAGCAAAATATTCCAAAGTTTGCTGGTATTGCTGCACAAATATCAACAGTTCAGTAGTATAATTTCTATTTGCAAAGTTTTAAGTTGAATAAGGGTAAAAATGTACAGTCCAGTATAAGTTTCCTCAAATTCCTATCAAATAAGAAAATGCCTAGGATATGTGCAGTAGTTTTATTAATCTATAAAATATTCTTCTTAGCATTATACAATTTTTATGTAAAAATAAATATGGTAATCCCTTGCGCCAAAGCTGTTTTGTTGATGTGTTTTATTACTTCCAGTAGGTAAGATCAGTGACATCATAATATGACGTCATAAAGTGAACTGGCTATAACATATCGTGGGTACTAAGTATGCATAAGAAAATAAATCAACACTTTCTCTGAATAATAAATATACCTCTTATGCGTTTTTATTAGCTCATTTGCATAGAAACGCCTATACCTGGCCTTAACTCACATGCGAAATGCATTTAATTTGAGATGCAAACATATACACAGTTACATGGTGAATAAATTTATGTTTTCTTTATATGCACAAGAACAACATTACCTTCTAAAACAAAAGTACAGACAATACTGTACATCCTTTCCCTTTAAAGTTTCATAATTCATTGGTGTTTGGAGTAACTCCTACACAAGTTTATTTGTTTATTAGGTAATGGACTGTTCTGTACATGCTAAGCCATTACGTTTACCACAGATTTGACATCTTAATATTACCTTTCCTGATCACTTCCTTTAAAAGGAATACTTGATTTAATTTAAATTTGTAAACATTCTCTGTGATAAAAGGGGCATATTCTGCACACTATTGTACTTTGCTCTCTTTCTGAACAGATGTACAAATAATCATTAATTATGCATTGCCACCTAGACAACACATTATAGCGAGCACAGCGAGCAGCGCACGAAGCTAGCTCAATAGACCAATGTGTAAGAACAGAAAAAATTCAATACGCATATTGGTGGTCTAGCAAATTTTTGTGTGAAACCTTCCTAGAATTCCTTTGCTACCAGCATTCCATGAGATAATGGCGAATATAACAGGCCCCCAGTTGTCGTGAAGATTTAGCTTATAAGAAACAAAATATAATTGCATCTACTCTACAACGCCTTTCGTTAAAAATTGCACTAAGTCTCCATTATAGATATACAACTTACATATGACGTCACAGTCTAAACTGTGTCTCGAGTGGTTTGAAGAGGCGAATCAAAGTCACACTGTTATACAAATGTAAGATGTGTGAATTAAGGTTTTGATGCTACAACTGCGCTCGCCCCAACAGTCACACCGTAAAACGTATTAGATATACCATACGGTTTATGCCCCAATTAATGCTTTGTAGACCGACTTTCTATTATAAGAAAGTTGATCAACATATAATCAAGGCACAGGATATCGCAAGATTTCATTTCAAATGAGAAGTAACAGTTAGACTATGAGAAGACAGCCGAATTTGCACGACGACGAAAAAAAAAGATTTGCTTAACTGTACATATATAAAACGCTTACAATTAAAGAACGTATACTTTAAGTTGCCTTTCTTTAGTAGATTGTTATCTAAGACTAGTCTAATGGTTTATAATACCATCTATGTTCCCTGTCCTGAAGTAAACACTGAACTCGAATCGATCTTTTATGGAAATAAACTGGTTCGCTTGTTTGAACGACCAGCTTAGAATGATTATATCATACTTTATCCTATTCGTATTTAACTCGTGCATACAATCAAAACTCAAAAGACTGAGATTTTTTAAAAATTGAAATGCGAAGAGTATTTCTCGTTCAACAAAATACAAAAGGAGATTATTTTAAAAAATTGAAGCAAACTAGTTAAGGTAAAAAAAAAAAGTTTTTAGATATAATTTATTTTTATATATCACTGCGTTTTAACATAAGCACTCCCCAGCTTAATTGTTAAAAAATATATATCTACTATACTATAATGTTTATAGTATAGTAGATATATATTTTTTAACAATTAAGTTGGGGAGTGCCTATGCGTTTTAACCATTCGGTATGTTAATGATTTTAACGTAAAGTATAAAAGTGAAAAGAGCTATGACAAACAAAGGCATTTTAGAAAAAAAAAGATCTGGTGTATAGAGTATCTAGTTGTAGACAAGTTTACCGAGACCTTTATGAAGTTATGCTAAAATCCTAAGAAAATGTTCTTCTTGAAATACTTCTAAATTACACTCTTTTGCTTTGTTTATTTTAAATAATTTTTTGTCTACGGACTTACATACTAAAAGTATATAGGTCCCTAATTTTCCAAAGTTTTCTTTTTCAGACACATGCTTCGTCTATGACGTCTGATACCTTTCTGAGGTACAAAAACCCCTTTCAATTTTTCAAACAAACTAAAAAAAGAATGAAAAAGAGCTAGTGAAGTAAACCTCTATCACGTATACGAAACATTGGTCAAGTGTATATTTACGAACACTCTTTTGCATCAAAAGCATCTGAAAATGTTCTTTCTTATAAACCCATATTGATAAGAATACATGTCTTTTATTACGTATCAAGCCCCTTGTTATGACTTTGGGATTTTGAATTATAAACTCCATGCCTTTTTATCAACAATTACAAGATTGTCTTCATAGAAGTTACAATACTGGAAGTCAAAAATGTCAAAAAATACAATTATTATTTTTTTTTTTAGAGAATATAAATTATCTTTTGACATTAGTCGTAATGAAAGGTTATATATGAGAGCAAAAAAATTAGCAATGTGGCAACTGTCAGATACGTACATGTACTCTTGTTTACGGGTTGTACTAAAAGGACTTAAAGCTGAACACGACTCGTAAATAGGCACATGCCATATTAGCTGTACTATCTCCGATATCAGCACTTGGGTATATTTTTTCGCATTCGTTACACCTGACTGCTTTCTTGCTACGGGTATCTGCGTGGAATGACGACATTTGTTCGTGCTGGGTATCTTGAATTATCTTTGTTTACATTTTATTGCAGTTTACGCGTATTTGTGTTTGTTTGTATACTACAATGACTTGTTCAGATGTTGTAGGTTTCTTTGGTAGGCCCCTGTCTTTCTATACTGCCGTGGAAGACGGAGAGGCACACAGTTACTTTTGTCGCTACCGAGTTTTTTACAATAGCTATGTAGAATGCGTCCGTCTACACAGATGACAAATGATTACACTGAACAGTAATTAAGTGAAAGGCTTAAATTTCATATGTACTTTAATAATATTTAGAATGCAAACTCAGTGTTGTTCAGTAGTAAGACATGGGATTTATCCCACATTTAAATGTTTATGGGAGTAAATATCATAATATATGGGATTTATCCTATGTTTGACAATAAATGGGAGAAATCTCCCACTGATCAGAATCCATGGGATTTATCCCATTTGAACAAATTCGTGGGAGAAAATATCCCATCTGATACTTTTTCTCCCAGTTAGGACTAAAAATCCCATCATTCTCCCATGGGATTCTGATATTTAGGACTTAATATTTTTTAAACTAGAGATATTTGTAAGTTCAACATGAGAGCATGTGATAATGCTAAAAAATCCCAACAACTACTATAAATTTATTTTTGGACAACGCAATTAGAAATGGTAGTAAAAAGTCCGGACAATGTCGTGTCCGGAGTTAAATGTCGCACTGTTTTATACATATAGGGGCACTCAGATATACATGTATATAGCGAGTGAATAAAATATTATGGCGGACAAATTCCTTCTACGAATCGTGTTGTCCATGCTTTTCTTGGTAAAGCTATCAATATACATTTAATGAGTTTCACTATACCCCGTTTCTGTGCAACAGCTTAAAAAGGCAAAAACTGCTACCTTATGTGCCCGAAATAAAAAAGAACACGATCAAAAGCATGCGTGATTTATGCTCGAAGTTATTGAGTAATGATTTGACTAAATTGTGGTTGATAAATGAATGCTGAATACTTCAGTTCAAATGTACCGACATCAAAACAAGTTTCACCGTTAAACTTAAATTGAATGATAGGAAAAACCGAGTGATAAGAAAACTTTTTTTTAAAGATGTGATACTTTAAAACAATCTGATCGCTTTCTTATCCGGTTTCGAAATTGTGCAATTAGGCTTTTTTATTACCTTCTTAGACAGGCATTTTGTCAATTAAAGGATAGGAAAATTAGACGATAGATGATAGGAAAAACCGAGTGATAAGAAAACTTTTAAAAAAAAAATATAGATTTGATAATGTAAAACAACTTGATAGCTTTCAAAGCCGGTTTCGAAAGTACACAATTAGGTTTTTTGTTACCTTCTTAGACAGAATGTCTTATTTTTTAAAGGAGGAGAGAGGGGCCAGTAAATGATTGACAAGCACGAAAAGGTGCCTAAAACTTTGACAAGCCTCCTCCCAATAGAAAAGATACCTTAACACAGAATTTGCCAAAAACTCGAAAAAACCTATTTCATGGAATATATTTTCGGGTGGGGGCAACCAAAAAAGGGGCAGGTGGAGGAACAACATACTGCAAAAAAATGTCCCCTTCTTTAAACAGATGAATTCTAACCCAAGTTTTCTAGGTTAATTAAGATAAAACTTTTAATGTAAAGTAGAAATCGTACAGAGTCCACGATTGGCCATGGAGCTACGCCTCTTTCAATATACATTTTTCTTTTCGTTGATCATTTTAATTTGTTTTTCAGAGAAGACGATGTATAAACACTGCTGTGCCGATTTGACAAGAGAGTTTCTATGGTTGCTCGAGAAATTCTATGAAAATCTCACCAAAATACATGGGCCTTGTGACTAGAAACTATTATTTAGAGCTGGGGTGGATAATTGAATAGAAAAACATTTAAACCCTTGCAAAATTATCTTTAAATGATTGATTCTGTGAAACTATTTTTTTTTGTTATACCCATGTCACTAAGTTCCATATTTATATATTTGCCATGTAATCCACCTAACGTGGTGATGGTTCTCTGTTGTGCCTGCGTGTCTTAAAGGTTTCGTCCGAAGGATCCTTGACTCACATTAATTTTCCAATGTCGAGTTTGTAACAAGGGACAGTATTTCCCATTTAAAGTCCTAGGTCTAACTCGAACAAAATTCAAATTCACAGCCATCTTTTTAGGAGACGTATTTCTTAAATTACGGGCACGTAGCATCGTTTTTGAAAAGGGGGTACTGACAAGCAGAAACATGCCAATATCTGCATGAACTATGTACACGTATTACAAAATCTGTGAAAACTAAAAGTTATTTTGCCCAGCGGCTTTTCTGAAAACAGAATTTGAAACAAGGACAGAGGCATCGTGTAATATAATGTATAAATAAAACGTAGTCATTGTGAAACATACAATCCAGTGGCCATGCAATTTAAAGCAATATTCACCTCTGCGTGCTTTCAATTTGACTAAAATTTGATATATCGATTTCAGAGCAGATTTTTAGTCAGACCGGGTTGCTTTAACGTTGAGGATATAAGTTCACATTTCAAATGCTTATCCACCATTGTAATTTGCTAATCAGCTCCTATTTTTCGGTTTTGTTTTACATTGCATTGGGTATGTAACTTAAACAAAGCATATAAAAGTCTTGGTAATAAAATGAATGGGCAAGTCAGAGTGTCCTACATGTATAGGCTGTGTTCAACACTTAACATCCAATCTAAGCATATTTCATATTTCAAAGTATTCTGATGAATCTTACATTCATAACTGAGGAGGAATTCTATACAGAACTAAAGGCTTGTAAATTCTCTTGTACGAAAGGTCATGAACCGAATATACTAGTTTAAAAATGCAAGGATAAAGACCGATGTTTTTTTTTTAATCTTAGCGATTCACTGTATTGTATAACGAATGTTACTCAGTTTTTGACAATAACCTTCAAGGAAATGATATGTTAAAAAAAATGAATTTCATTTTAAAAATAAATTTAGTGCACAACAAAAAGGTCTCAAGATATAATATGCAAACAGACAACAAGAAACAATATAAGTTTGTTATGAGTTTCATTTTGAAAATAAATTCAGTGCACAACAAAAGGTCTCAAGATATATGCAAACAGACAACAAGAAACAAAGTTTGTTATGCGTGCAGTGTTCGCTAACCTTTTGTTCAAATAGATGGCTAGCAATACCAGTTTAACCCAGTTATTGTGAAATTTTTCAATTCTTATGCTTGGATACGAAATGTAATATTTTGTTATAAACAACCTACAGGGAAAATCTAGCGGTAGAAAACTATGGGTCGATTTCCAGATAAGGTTGCTTTCGAAGAATTTTGTCTAATCCTTTTAACCCTGAAAAGAACGGTTTGATAAAATAAATATTAATCTCCGTCATTTGGTTAAGAAAGTTGTTACTAGGTTTCGATTAGTATGCCTTGGTAGTATTTTCATAATTACACTAATTTACACGTATTTAATTCAGTGACATTCGTTCAAGTATCAAGAATTGGTCTAAATAGAATCACAATCATAATAGATGTAAAAAAAAAAAGATACATATAATATATTGAATTATAATTCTGTGGCAGTTGAGAAGAAGTAGCCTTTAAAAATTTTGAAAAATTAAATTGTTGTTTTTCAATGACAGATGCTTAATGCCCCCACT